TAAACATTTTTAGAACATTCCTGTTCTGTCCCCCCCCCCGCCGCCTTTTCCAAATAGCTAATAACAAGTATCCATTAAAAAAACCTAATAAATATCAGATATGAAGCAATAAACAAAGGAAAGCCACTCGGCCCATTAAAAACAACCATATCAATTATTACTCTTATTATTATTATTAAATATCTATACTGCCCTTCATCCGAGGATCATGGGGCAGTTTGCAATATAAAAACGCAAAATGCACGCCATAATAACAGACAAATAACCCCCGCGCACACACAGTTTAAAAGGCCATAGATTGTTTAATTAACAATTTAAGAGGAATGTTTTTGCCTGGTGCCTAAATATATGCAATGAAGGAGCCAGGAGAGGGAAAGCTTTGTCAGAACAGAAACAGCTGCAACAGAAGTTAGAAGATGCAGCGAGTCATGCTGGGCCAAACCTAGGGGCTGTGAAGCCCAGCATCCCCTTGCCACAGTGGCCAGCCAAGTGCCTTTGGGAAGCCTACAAGCAAAGTGTAAGGGCAACAGTCTTCTGCCACCATTATGCATGGTGCCTCAGATCCTGAAGGTGGCAGGTAACCATCTAGCCTTGTCCTCCATGAATATTGGATGTGATGTAGAATGCGATCCTTGTTTCACTCACAGTCACACTGCACCATGGAGGTTTGTGAGCAAGGTGCCCATATATCCTGAGGTTTATACATCCCTCATGCAGAGATGCCCTCTGCCACACATGCACACAAGAATTTGCCCACATGTATCCTGTGCCTGCTTCCACAACTGGGAAATTTGGCTCGGCCCTTACATCCAGCATCAGCAACGAATAACTTGACAGCCCTGGGCTTACAACAGCGTAGGTTTTAATGGCCAGATGGGCACCCTGCTATGTAACAATGACTTACGATCTGGAAAGCTGAACTTGTGGTGGCTGCTTTTCGTTTCAGGTGAGCAGCTTTCCAGCCTCCATCCAACTGCTGTCCATTCTCCAGAGCCTCTTGCATCTCGAACCTTCCCATCGCTCCAGCCTGTTGCTATGGGAATCCTTAGAAATCCTAGTAAGCAGAGCCATCTTGCTTGCAAATGACAGTAAGTGGAAGCTCACTGTAACCTATGATGCAGCCTCAGTGCTGTCTTTGTGTTGTTGTCATCGTTGTCGTCTTCTTCTTATTCTTTGGCGATCACTCATAGCTGAATAAGATTGTCTTCCATGAACACAGTTTTAACAGTGAGTCCGTAAGTGACTGTGGAGGCCAACTCTGGATCCACACGTCCTTCCATGGTGGGGACATAGGTTTCTGGGCAGGAGTTGGTCACGGTTAGGGTTTGCCAAACATGCCTTTCTCTTGGCACATTTCTCCCTTTTGTCCTGAGTTTGTGCTTCTTCAAAGTCCATGACACCTTTGGGAATGGCTGTTCTCCAATTGGAGCTCTCACGGGCCAGTGTTTCCCAGTTTTCGGTGTTTATACTACCTTTTTTTAGATTTGCCTTGAGAGCATCTTTAAACCTCTTTTGTTGTCCACCGGTATTTTGCTTTCCATTCTTGAGCTGGGAATAAGTAGTTGCTTTGGAAGATGATAATCAGACATCTGAATAGCATGACCAGCCCAACGAAGTTGATGTTGAAGAACAACAACTGCTTCGACACTGGAAATGTTGAGAATATTGTTTCTGGTTTAGGGCTATTTCTATTTTTAAAAGGATATTCTACAAAGGGAAACATACTACAGGGGAAACATTTCCCTGCATATTTACATTTATATTTATATTTATAATGCCTTTTTCCCTAACAGAGACTCAAAGACAGCTTACAGATAAAATAGAAACAGCTTTAAAAAATGGTGGTGGTAGGGAAATCATTTTTTTAAAAAATAAACATTTACAGAATTAAAACTGTATATAAATACAAAATTAATATATATTCTGTATTTATATATAGTTTTAATTCTATAAATGTAAAACATACAGATAATTACAATAAGGATGACAGGATATCAGCCCTTTTGTTAGAAAGCAGTCAGATCACCAAAGCCAGCAGAAGGGCAACAAGGAGACAGACTATCTATTGGTCTGTCTTCCTATATTCTGTGGCAAAGAAAGTTGTGTCTAGCTGTCATCTGAACAGAAAGTGCATCTAACAAACCCCTGTGATACCCATCATTTATATTCTCATGAACGAATGACAGAGCTTCCGACACAATGCAGGGTAACGACATCATTTGAAAACCACCAACCCAAAGCATCTTTAATAAAATCAGGGGACCTGTCCATCATTTTTGATAGAGGTGTGCAGCTGAGGAGATACTTGGCTCTTCCACAGTGGTTTTCTACGGCCACCCCAAAAGTTCCCTCCACCAGCTATTGGACTGGGTATCCCTTGTTCTGCAATAGTAGTCGTAGTAGTAATAGTTGCTGTTTGTGCAGAAAGAGGCTTTGAACTGGTTCTAAGGATGCCTTAGATCTTCTCCCCTTCATTGCAGTACAAGGCAACAGCGTGGAAGAAGTCATGGAGAGGCTGCTGTCCATCAAGAAGAGGCCAAAGAAAAGAAGCCCAGACTCCCGGCGAGGCGCCAACAAAGTGAATGAGAGTACTCAGACCAATGAAGCTTCTGAGGGTCTTCCAAACGCCTGCCAGAAATGTCCTCTTCCGGCGACTTGCTCTTCCGGCGGCCCACCCAACCCAGAGGCTCCAAATGTGTCTGAGAGCGTTACGCCATCCCAGCTACTGACCTGCTCGGCATTGCCTGGGCAAAGCTCCACTCCATCGAGTGTCCCTCTACTGCCACCACCTCCCCCTCCGCTTCCTGGAACAGCCAGCATGGCATCACAACAGCTGCCGCCGCCGCCACCTCCACCACCACCTCTCCCTGGCATGATAAGTGCACCACCTCCAGCCCCCCCTCTGCCTGGCATGGTGGGGGTCCCTCCCCCTCCTCCCCCTCTGCCTGGCATGGCAGCAATTCCTCCACCACCCCCACTCCCTGGTATGATAAGCGCGCCACCTCCAGCTCCCCCTCTGCCTGGCATGGCAGCGATCCCGCCACCGCCCCCACTCCCAGGCATGCCACCTCCTCCACCCCCTCTGCCTGGCATGACTGGGATTTTTCCACCGCCCCCGCTCCCTGGCATGGGAGGTGTGCCACCCCCTCCCCCGCTCCCTGGTATGGGAGGTGTGCCACCGCCTCCCCCGCTCCCTGGCATGGGAGGTGTGCCACCGCCTCCACCCCTCGCAGGCAACGTGGATGAAATTGTGATTGCCCGTGTCGAGGTCCCCCTTGGGTATTACAGGCCCTTCCACAAGAGGGTGAAGCCTCCGACACTAAGGATGAAGAAGTTGAACTGGCAGAAGCTGCCCTCCAACGTGGTGAGAGGTAAGTTATGCCAACGCCACGTCCCGTTCGCTTTGTCGCCAGCGCAAATTCTCTCCCAGTGCAAGCCTACCTGCATGTTAACGTCCTCCTTGCAGGTCCTTTTCCACACGCCAGCTCCTCCTGAAGCATAGCCGGTAGGGTCTTCTCGGTGGTAGCCCCAGTGCTATGGAACTCTCTCCCCAAAGATGTATGCCTCACTTTCCTCCCTGTCGTTTCGACAGCTGCATGTGGCCACCTTGTCCTGATAAGCTTTCGAGCTGCCATGATGCCTGGCTTGAACTTGGTATATTTATTTATACGCTCTAGAATGCTGCTATTTTGACGTGTTTGTAAAAACAAAGTATTTGGCTGTCTCTTTTTCGTATCTCGTCATCAATTTTAGTATCGTTGGCTCTCCTGCTGAGATTTCTTTTTAATGCAAATTGATGGATTGCAGCCACGGCCATGCAGATTCTTTCTGAGAATGTTTCCCCCAAAACAGTATTGAAAATGGGGCAGCAAATAACTGCCACCCAAGACTATAACGAGTACAGCTTATCATTGATGAACGATAGAAAGGACAGCTGGAGAGGCTTTCCGTAATTCAGTCCAACTTTACCCTAGTCCTGTGGCATCTCAAAGACTTCAGTGCCATCAACCTTTTCATTTTCTACTGTACTATTTTCTTTTTCTTTTTTGCATCCAATATCTAATAATTTTCCTGCAGTGCCTCACCTCGAGGGGATATATGCAAGGGGAACTTGTTGTGTGCCGCCTGCCATAATGCCTTTTGTCTTGCAGAGGGGCACTCTATGTGGGCTTCCGCGACAAGCAGTAGCGAGGAGATCATTGAGCCGGACTACACGAGCATAGAGCAATTGTTTTGCTTCCCACAAACGAAGCCCAAGGAGAAACAGGCAGCCCCGGTGAAGGTGGAACCGAAGGAGGTAAGACAGTGATCCATCTGGATAACTGCGCAGTCTGTCCCAATGATACCCATAAGACTGCCTTGCAGATAGCCACTTGCCTGTGATGATGGAGAATCTCCTTTAGGTGACCAGGCAAGAAAGTTGCTTCTTTTCTTATCATAGAATGATATAATTATAGAGTTGGAAGGGACCCAAGGGTTATCTAGTCCAACCCCCTACGAAGCAGGAATCTCAACTAAAGCATCCCTGACAGATGGCCATCTAACCTCTGCTTCAAAACCTCCAAGGGAGGTGAGTCCACCACCTGCTGAGGGAGCCCATTCCACTGTCAAACAGCTCTTACCCTCATAAAGTGTGAAGTCGGAATCTCCTTCCTTGTAACTTGAAGCCATTGGTTCGAGTCCTACCCTCCAGAGCAGGAGAAAACAAGCTCGCTCCATCCTCCTTGTGACAGCCCTTGAGATATTTGAAGATGGCTATCATAACTCCTTTCAGTCTCCTCTTTTTCAGACTAAACAAACCAGCTCCTTCAGCCTTTTCTTGCAAACAGGACCCAAGCACAAGAACACTCTCCCTCCTGAGATATCCAGCAACTGGTGTTCAGAAGCTTGGCTGCCTCCAACTCTCGTGGCAGAGCAGAGCCATCGTGGCTAGTAGCCATGAAATTGTTTGATCCTCTTTTAAATCCTTTTAAATTTGTCTAATCCTCTTCTTTTCTTGCGGAAGGGCCATAGCTCAGTGGTAGAGCATCTGTCTTGCATGCAGGAAGTCCCAGGTTCAAATCCCATCATCTCGGGGATTTCCGGGTTAGCGCCTCCGGCAATGGCGGATTTCCTCTGACCGGGAGGAATCCGCTTCGTGGAAATCAGGGTCTAGACCGCCACGGCGAGGCGGAGACCCATTAAAAACCACAGGCGGGAGAAGCCTGTGGACGTGGGATTCGGCTGGCACCTTTTGCGCCTCCCCTACTCGCGGGGAAACCCGGTTTCAGGGATCCGGAGCGACGTGGGGTGAGCGGCGCAGTGCTTCGTATCGATTGCTTTTTTCACGAAGTGAAGCCGCATTGCTGTTGCCGGAGAGCGCTGACTTTTTCCTGTGGACAATTGGACCTTAAACAACTACTCGTGAGTAGAACGGAAAATTGGATTACCAAACATCTTTAATTGGGCACCGAAGCGGGAAGGTTCCAAACAGGAAGTCCGCCTTCCTGTTTTGTAAATAGATTGAAGCAAAGACATTGCAAGCTAAAGTCTGGAAAGTCTTTTGTAAAGGATTAAATCTCCATCGGCTAAAATTACTAAACCCCCCTTGGAAGCAGGAGAAGAAGGGGAAAGTTTAGATTGTTTAAGCCTGCAGGAGAGAGAGTGAAGAAAGATAAATTACCACCGTTTTGAACCTGGGAACGGGCTGCCAGGGAGCGACGTATTGGGAAAGTTCATTGACTGAGAATAAAACGTATGTTGACAGATAGTTAAACAAGAGAAACATATTGATTCCAATGTTTCCTTTTGCACTTGAAAGGAGCAAAATATCTGAAAATTGAAATTAACTTTGTTAACTTTGTTGCTGGACCTGCTTTTAAAAAGACAGATACAAATAGAAACTGTTTCCCCTAGAGGGAGCTCTTGAAACTGTTGCAGGAGTGGATCTGGGGAATTCTCCAGCTGTAGAGATTAAAGACTGTGAGAATTAGACATTGACCTTGGACAAGAATGTGGGCAGAAGAAGCCTTAGTTATTGCTTTTTGCAAAACAAGTGCCTTATTGGAACAGCTTCATGAGAAGATGGATGCGATGACTACTAGCATTGACAATTTTGGACAAAAAAGGATTGATTTGGGACAAAAAGTGAATACTTATAAAGAAACTACCCAGGAACCGACCCAGGAATCTGCTTTGACATGGCAAGCTGTGGAGAAGACAAAGGAGGAGGATGTTTTTGAACCTCAAGTAATACAAGTGGAGAGAGCCTCGGCCTTGTATGAGCATAAGCTGTTGCTTTTGAAGACCAAATCTGGAGAAAGCCAGATTTGGAGAGATGGAGTCCCGCTTGGATTGGAGAAGGAGAGTTGGAGAGATCCCCTTATGCAGGGATGTTCTGGCCTTTGGGATCTGGTTTTGGGCCAGGGGGAGATTGGAGTGGCGAGGGCCTTTAACTTTGGAGGGACTTTGAAACATGCTTTGAATTATTTCTTGGATTTTGGCCCTGTCTATGGAGAATGGGCTGACCTGTTGAGAAGGGATAAAGACATTGTTAGGTTGGAGCCTTCCCGAGATCTACTCCTCAGTGACAAAGGAAGGAAATTGAGAACAAGATCAGCAGAAAACAAAGTAAAGTGTAGGTATAAATATGAAGAAGATCTGCAGAAGGGACATGGAAAAGAGTTAAGAGCCTCGGACAAAAGATCACCAGGTTGATGGACTAGATGGAATGGATAGAAAAGACTGGCAGAACCCGAGACCAGGGTGAAGAGACAGTGGATGAAGATTGGAAGAAAGTTTAAAAAAATTATTTAGAGAAATATTGTAAAATTTATGAGTGTTAGAAAAATGTTGGAATGAAACTATATGGCTTTAGTAGAAATGTTATAAGGAGTTATGTATAAATAAGTTTTAAGTTTTAAGGTTTTTTATGGTAAGATAAGGTTAAAATAAATTAAGACAATTAAATGACAGAAAATAGTGAAAGATGGAAAGGATTTGCTGAAATAATGAATAACTAGAATACAAAAAAGGGAGGTGTGAGGAGGTCGATGAAACAAGTTAATGAAAAACAAAGATATGGAAATATTGGATCTATTTTTAACTTTTTTGCTTTTGTTTTTGGTTTTGATGTATTGTGTGTTTTGTTATTTTTTTCTTTTTCTTTTTTTCTTTTTTATATGTATTGACTTGTATTGTTTAATCTCTTTTTCTCCTTTTTTTTTACACTTTTTTCTGTAATTTTAAACTTTCAATAAACATCATTTTTAAAAAAAAATCAAATCCCATCATCTCTAGGTAGGGCTGGGAAAAGAGACCCCTGACTGTAACCTTGGAGGTAAAAGGTAAAGGACCCCTGACCATTAGGTCCAGTCATGACTGACTCTGGGGTTGCTGCGCTCATCTCGCTTTATTGGCCGAGGGAGCCGGCGTACAGCTTCTGGGTCATGTGGCCAGCATGACTATGCTGCTTCTGGCGAACCAGAGCAGTGCACGGAAATGCCGTTTACCTTCCCGCCGGAGTGGTACCTATTTATCTACTTGCACTTTGACGTGCTTTCGAACTGCTAGGTTGGCAGGAGCAAGGACCGAGCAACGGGAGCTCACCCTGTCACGGGGATTCGAACTGCCGACCTTCTGATCGTCAAATCCTAGGCTCTGTGGTTTAACCCACAGCGCCACCCGCATCCCTGTAACCTTGGAGAGCTGCTGCCAATTCGTGTAGGCAGTACTGTGCCAAATAGACCAATGGTCTAACCATCAAGAAAAAGTGGCCGAGTAACTTCCGTGCGCTTCTTTGTAAGAATGACCAAAAATGTTTTCCTTTTCCGAAATAGATCACGTTTCTGGAGTCCAAGAAGAGTCTCAATTTGAACATCTTTTTGAAGCAATTCAAGTGGTGAGATCTCGTTTCACAATTGAAAAAAGAGCATTAAGGTCAAATGTTGATGAAAAATTAGCACTCCTTAGCAATCCTAGTAGATGCTGCAATCCTGTGGGGTTTTTTATTCATGCAATTCAGTAGGATTTAAGGAAGTGTGGTTGTCCAAAAGATTGTAACCTGTAAATTTGTGCAAATGTTGCCCTGAATCCAGAACCTCATACGTGCACGCAAATACCGTATTTTTCGTCCCATAGGACGCTCCGTCCCATAGGACGCACCTAGTTTTTTGGGGGTGAAATAAGGGAAAAAATTTTTTCCTTTATTCCCCCCCCCAAAACCAGGTCGGGGAAACCAAACCAGGTCGAGGAACAGCGGGATGGCAGCGCTGCGCCTCCCCGCTGTCCCCCGAGCTTCTGGAGCTTGCGGATGTCTGCCCGGCGCGCGAGGCACTCTGCTTCAGGGCGCCCCGCGCGCCGAGCAGCAGGCTGCTATCCGCAGCGTAGGGAGCCCTGCGGGAACTCCCACAGGGCTCCAACACGCTGCGGATGTCTGCCCGGCGCGAGGGGCGCTCTGCTTCAGGGCGTCCTTCGCGCCGGGCGGCAGGCTGCTATCCGCAGTGTAGGGAGCCCTGCGGGGCTGCCTAGGCTGCGGATGTCTTCCTGAAGCCTGGAGAGCGAGAGGGGTCGGTGCACACCGACCCCTCTCACTCTCCAAGCTTCAGCGAAAGCCTGCATTCGCCCCATAGGACACACACACATTTCCCCTTCATTTTTGGAGGGGGAAAAGTGCGTCCTATAGGGCAAAAAATACGGTAATTCCTACAAGCAGCTGTCTTGATTTATTTAAATAACAGTAATGGCATATTTTGACTAGTTTTTAGCTGAAGTATTCAGCCCAGATCTCTTTTTTGGCATTGAGGTGGTGTGAGAGGAACAACCCCCAAAGATTGTAATAATTGTGTCCCAACGTGAGCCTGCAGCTGTCTGAACAGCAGCTAAACTTACGTTACTTTTATTTCAAGGTAGTTTTTTTCTTGCAGCAGCCTAGAGTATGAAAGACCCATGTGGAATCCAGACACATTTAAAAAAAGTTGTGAAAAATGATTTTTTTAAAACCGTTTTAAAAAATACATTGCATTTGCCATAGCTCAATATCACCATCTAGTGTCATATTTGTATAATGCACTTTTACAACACACTTAAAACGTTTTATGTGCAGCTGTATAGCCGAGTCCCCAGTTTGTTGATTGACCTAAGCAATAGATATTCAAAGCTAGACAGTGGTTAATAGCCATTGGTTGATCTAGCCTCCTTGACTGTGTCTTAATTAGCTTAATTAGCACTACAGCTTGTTGCAGTAACTCCATAAGACAATTATGCACAAAATGAAGAAGAGTTTGCTTTTGTTAGGGACAGGGAGGAGGGAGATTTGATTCAGTTTGCTTTCAGATGTGAACACACATTATTCACACTTTCTGAAGCACTACAGGAACCAAAACACGGTCATCCTTTGAATCTACACTACTCTGAATTTTGCAATGCAGTTCTTTCGTCAAGTAATGTGTCGGGGGGGGAATGTGCACTCAGAAGAAAAGTGTGCATAGAAACACATATTCTTAGCAAAACTGACATAGAAAAATGCACAATATATTAGGGACTACAAAATGTGTATATTAAGGGGAAATGCAAACATGTTGTATCAGAAGAAAATTGCATTATAATGCTAATGACTTTACATGAGGATTTGAAAACCCTAAAATAAATTAAAACTGATGTTGAAATTTGAAAAACTAAACTTAAGCTGGAAAAATGAGAAACTGAGAAACACAAAAATTGATAGGTTCTACCATCCCTAACATTCATCCTGAACTGACTTGCCAGGCAACTTCATTGGACAACCTTCAAATTTTAACATTATCAGAAGAGGTCATATGATTTCCCTGCCTCCACTCCCAGTTCATAATCCCCTGTCCCCGCAGGGCAGTAGTTGCATCTAACCAACAATCTCTTTGATCGATAGCCCAAATGTGGAGGTGGTTGACATGATCCAGAAAGGCGACCGAACGAAGTTTGACGTGGAGGTTCTCAAGCAGCTGCTGAAACTCCTACCCGAAAAGCATGAAGTAAGCTGTGCCCTTCTTTCTAAACACACATAAGCAAAGTCTTATTTCAGTTCTTCTCTGTGTTGCAGTGAGTATGTAAACACAGTGATGTTCTTGGA